GAAGCAAACGTATATTTGCTATAGCAATCGACTACGTTACTTATTTTCGTATTAGAGTAGAGTTTCGAGAATACCAGTAAATCAGTAATATGAGAAAGCAAGTCTTGGGAAAGCAAGGCTACGTGAAATTCAATGGAAACTTCAGCTCAACAGAATTAATTATTACTTAAATTTTATAGGTCCTCCGGGCATTTAATGTACTGTTCTATTTATTGATTTTAATGGCCTCTACAATTTTGAGTTTGGCTCCAGTCACATCATGGTAAGAAAGGACTGTAGGTCTAAAACAATATAATCTTATTTCCAGCTTCTGAAATGTGTTCTGCTACAGGTACTTTCGCGTCGAAAGGGTCCCCTTAACATAAAATCAGCTATATGAGTACATTATTTTATAGCAGCCTGATCTAAATAGTGTGTCACCTTCCTTTCTAAAAGGTAGGAAAACTAAAAAAAGTATCTTTATTTCGAAAACCGTTAGTCTACCTTTATAAAGAAAGCGATGAAGGCTGAACCAGGTCAGGGCTATTTTGAAATATTCTCAATTAAAAAAATAATTCTTCAATAATGTAGTGTTATTTTCAATCAAACCCAGGATACGATATTCTCAATTAATATTACTTAGAGCCTACCTAGTTTATCACAATGCCCTCTATCGGCCAATCTTACACCCCAAATAACCAGTAATAGTAATATATCAAACTTTGTGCTGTAACTATGTTTGAGAATATAGTAAGTATATATTCAGCGTTTTGGGGCTTTCTATATACATCCTTGCTTAACTTCCCTTCTGTTCTGACAGCTAAAACATACAAAAATGACAACCTATTATCCTATTTTGTCTCCACTGTGAATGTAACCTTAAAATCACACTGGTTATTTAGGAAAAAGAAATTAGCTACTCTATCCTTAGCATGTTGCCACATTTCAAAATAAACATCCGCACATCCAACTTCTATTTTTTTATAAGTCATAACTCTTTCACAAAGAGTTCCTCCTTTCTCGACACGTAATTACTCGCTTAAATGGCAGCCAAACAAGATCCTACTGAAATTGCTTGCACCTGCTAGTAAAATCTATCATTTAAACGTGTATATGCTATTTCTGGATAGATTTTGTAGTCTAAATCTTTTGCTTAGATTGAATCCCTCCACACCAAAAAGTTCTCTTTAGTACTCTTCTGATCTAGCAAGTTAACAAATTTATGTGAGACCTCAATTAAATATTTCCAAGATTTAGCTACTTTTCTAAATTTTCTGCTCAAGAAGCATGAAATCCTATGAACTATACTTTCTTCATAATCAAGAATCTATCTTTGAGGTACTCATTTCTTATGCATCTTTGGACGACAATAAGCTAGAAGTGTCCTAGTCTCTCTTTGGAGAAATGAATTTATTTTCCAAATATCAATTCCTACATGCGCCGGCAAGAATACTCCAATATATCTAAATGACAGATGGCCAGAAGGAATCTGCCTTCGTTTCCCGGTGGGATCGAACTTCGAATATCGTCATCAGACACCTGGTACCTCTATTCCCTCGATTCCTCGAAATCTAACTTTACTGCGCAAAAAAGACAAGTTAAGAAAATACAAATTGCAGGTCCTCTTGCGTTAATATACAGTTTTCGGCAATTTAGTAAACATTATAAAATTGAAAATTTAGTCTCATGATTTTAAACACATCAAATTTACATTGTAAGCAATTGAATCGAGATTTGGAAACTTGATAGTTGTTTGACTTTGTTTATGCAACTTGGTCATATTAGTAGGAAGACATAGAGGAACGCAGCTAGTCCGGAGTCCATAGTAAGCATGATAATTTCCAGAGTCGGACCGTGGATGCAGGACATTCCCTGACGTTTCGCCCGCATCGTCAATGAGCATTGCCAGTCTTAGCACCACAATACAACTCGTCAAAGAGACCAGTGAAGCCGATCCTTTGACTATCGTGATATCTCTCCTTCCGCCTTGGGCTAATGGCCAATCCTATATTCTGGTATCACGCCATCACTATCACAATTTTTACTTTCTTATTTAAATGTGATATGGTGTGCCCATATGCTCATGCTGACAAATGGCTTCTTGCAATGAGGCATACTAAGCTATACTTTAAGCAGTTTAAGTGTGAAGTGAGGCAGAGTATGGTTGTTTCTATTAAGACGCCTGTTAAATGATAAAACCACATATGATTACATAGATATATCAATTTTTATTTTGCCAATTCAACAGCGAAGCTAATGGTTTATATCAGTAAAAATTAAGGCAGCTCATAATGAGGCCTCTTGAGAGACCTTACACGGAATATTTTTAGCTTGGCATAGATCTAAGGCTAACTTACCAAAATAAGAAACCAAACAAAATAGTTATATGAGCGGTGGTCCTATCACATTTAGGCGAATTTACAAACACAAGCTCAGAGGTAATGACACCCTATAGATATTTTTCGTATGTAAGTAGAGTTTAAAGACTACCAGTAAATCAGTAATATGAGATATATTCACCCTATCTTGCTTAAGGTGATGAAAGACTGGTAGTAGAATTTTCCCACAATGATATGATTAGAGCTGACATCAGGGGTGTTGATAAGACCTATACGAGGTCTAAACTGCAGTCCGCCCTGGTTGAGAACAACTTTTGGGAAAGCAAGGCTATGTTAAATTTAATGAAAACGTCAGCTCTACTCATATCATGGTGGGAAAATTCTACTACCAGTCCTTCCTTACCTTAAACGAAATAGGGTGAATACATCTCATCTTACTCTATAAATAGCCAGCGCCCCGCATATCCTCACCTTTTATCAAACGGAGTATACACCACAGTAATAACTTTTTGTCACTTTAAAGGTGATAATTATGCCATTTAATTTTATCTTAGAAGTTCCTCAAAGTATTTAGATGCGTTTAACATTGACAGGAATGGAGATTAGGAAAATCCAATACTTCACATAGCGCGCAAATGTATGCCACTTACTCAGCTATAAGCACAAGTATCTTCTAAGACTAACCGGCATGGATTGCATGTGATCTGCTTAATAAGCTGACAATAAACTTCATCTCGGAGGCCCTCGTGACGCAGCATCGGACTGAATATAGTGTCCGTTAGACTTTTTAACTCTCGAGGCCTGGCTTTCCGACGTACCAAGCGATCATCTCCCATATAAGTGAGGATTGCACGTGATACAATCTCAGCTACCTGCCAGGCTCGTATACGGTCTTCCTCCTCCAAATCAGTTCTGCAGAGGCGCGCTAACAATGGCACAGTCAATGGCTCGCGAGAGTATTTCCAAAGGCAGTCAGGAGAGGAATCACTTTCGTTTCCCATTGATTTACTTTAATTGTCCCGGAGTTAAGTAAAATAAAGTGGAAGTTGAAAAATATTTAGCATAAATATCCTGTACAAACGACAACTAAGATTAAACATAAATAATGTATTCCAGACGATTCAAGTGAAGTAAATGCATTTTATAGACCTAAAAACACCAGAGGAAATATGCACAAACTACATAGATGAGAAAATCATTAAGAAAATATTTCCATATCTTTTATTCAAAGTAAATTCTGCATATTATCGATTCGTGGCCTGGCCCTGGAAAAATCAGAGGATATAGCTAAAAAATCAAATCAAAATCAAATTAAATTAAGTAAAGAAAAATCAAGTAGACTAATTTTTCAAATCACACCT